GTTTGTTACTTTCCCTTCCCTGAGATCCTTCAGACATTTCTCTTAGTTAAGGTTAATAATGAGGCATTCACTACAGTGACTAAAGTTTTGCTGTAATAAAAATTTGTCACATTGTCAAGTTTGTGTAACGATGTGTGATTCTGCTAAGTTAGGTAATTTCAACATTTAAACTGCTGTTTCTCCTACCACCATGGAGAATTATTTGGTTTAACTGTTGGTGGACAACCCTATGCACTGAGGATGTGATGAACCACCTGTTACATCGCTTGTTCACCTATGACTATGTAGTCAAGCACAACATCAACAAATTATTAAGTGTGAGGGTGACACAACTGTGATAGGACTCATAAGCAATAATGATAAGTCTACCTTCAGAAGGGAAACACATTATCTGTCTGTTTGGCATCATACCCTGGTCCTGAATGTCACATCGTGCTCCCTGAACACCAGCAGCAACCTCAAAACAGCACACCGGTGGCTTTCCTTTCTGAGGACACTGTAGAGCAAATCAGATTTGTTTCTTGTATCTGACTTCTTAGACTTACTCTTCAGATTTCAAGTTACAAGTGACCAAATCTGAGTTACAATTAAATAACAGACTTACACTTTATTTGACAGTACAAGTAATCATAGGACAAGCAAACTGCATTATCATTAATCTAATGATAATAATATTTACAATTTATAACAGATTTAAACTCTGTCTGTACCAGGCAGAATCTGTGTCTGTCTACCAGGTCTCCAATCTTCTTCCTCTGCAGGGCAGAGAAAAACATACAAATTGTAAAGATGCATGTTTTCTCTTCAGCCAGCCTGAACTGATTCTTCCCAATTATCAATTAAGTTGACCTCCAAAAGACAATAACTTATGCTGAAAAAAGAATCTTGGAAAGCACTTTTATTTATTAGACAATTTATGCTGTTTGCTGTTGATATGCACACTGCAAAAAACTACCACTGTTATAGAAAAAAAAAACTTTCAGGAAGAGCCTACTTATTTGTATCTTGGAAAAAGCAATGCTTTTAAATTTTGTAAATTTAATTATTGTATTTCTCATGCATACATTTTTACATCTCAATCCATTTGCCCATTTTAAATTTGAATGTCTAAATCTCCTTCCACACTCTGAGCAAGATTAAGTGTTAAGATTCTTCTCTTGTGTGAATGCACTGGTGTTTCTTAAGGGTACCACTTTCTCTAAAACTCTTTCCACACTCAGAACACAGATAGGCTTTTTCTCCTTTATGAATGCGCTGTTGTTTCTGGAGACTACTCCTTACAGTAAAGTTCTTTCCACACTGTGAGCAGTGATAGGGTTTTTCTCCTGTGTGAGTCCATTGGTGTCTCTTGAGGGCACCACTTTCTCTAAAACTCTGTCCACACTCTGAGCGGTGATACAGTTTCTCTCCTGTGTGAATGAGTTGGTGCGTTTCAAGATGACTCTGTACAGTAAACCTCTTTCCACACTCTGAGCAGTGATAAGGTTTCTCTTCAGTGTGAATGAGCTGGTATTTCTTGAGGGTAGCACTTTCTCTAAAACTCTGCCCACATTCTGAGTAGCAATATGGTTTCTCTCCAATGTGAATGCGCTGGTGTGTTTGGAGATGGTTCTGTTCAGTAAAACTTTGACCACAATCTGAACAGTATTATGGTTTCTCTCCTGTGTGAATGCGCTGGTGTCTTTGGAAATTAGTCTTTACAGTAAATCTCTTTCCACACACTGAGCAGTGATACGGTTTCTCTCCTGTGTGAATGCACTGGTGTTGTTGGAGATTTCTTTGGCTAGTAAAACTTTTTCTACAATCTGAGCAGTAATGTGTTCTTTCTTTCCCTGTTATATTTTGTGTTCGTGTGACAGGTGAGTTCATGTGGAAAGCAGCGGATGATATTTTCTGAGTACTTGAACTTTATAACACCACGTCCTCATTCCTGATTTTAGAAGTGTGATGTATTTATTTTGGTGGTATTTCTTAACGTGCTTGTGGATGTAAATTTGAACTGCACAGGAAAGTAAACACTAAGAGCGGAGTAGACTTGCGACAGGAGATCAATCTGGAAAAGAAAAGAAACAAAAATCAATGCCACATGCAACAAAATATTGATAAAAACATCAGTGGCAAAGGAAAAAAGCTGTGTTGGCTGTAGTGTTTATAAACAATATTTTACAGGCATAAATGTAACTTATTATAATTAAGATTTTACCTAGTTCTCTGATCAGTATTGTGCTCAAGTCCCTGATGCTGTGTTGTCAACATTCCTGCATACTCGAGATTCCTCAAGAGTATTGATTTTTTAAATGTGCAATAAATAATATCCTTATGGTATTAGCAATAATATGGAAATGTTGTCCCCTTCATTGTCAAGATCAGCACAAGCGCAGTAGCCAGAACAGCCCACAAAAACAAGTTTTTGTGTGCTATTTGAGACAAAGACTACAAACTATTTGAGGTTTTTATCAGATTTTACTAGTGATTTAAATGCTTATATGTTGAGAAACAGTCATTTGGCCTTCAGTGTCAATTGTTTTAGTCTCTCTCCATCCAAAGACTGAAGAGTCTGGTCTTTTATGGTTTGAAATAACTGTCTAGTGGCACTGCCAAGATGGCCACTGAGTGATTAGACTTTCCTATAAGGACTTCGGAGGTATGAGCCTGGCATTGGACAGATTATTCTTAATTCTACTACTCAGAATCAGAAGATTCTATGAAACCTTAAAAACTACAGTATAAATTTGGTTCTGTGAACAAGTCCGTTGGTTTTGGCCCATTTTTGTTTGTCTACGGTCATTAGGTGTGTGATCATCTGGAAATGATGAAAGATAGTATCCTTATAGCCTAAAGGGGTGGGTAATATTTTCCAAATGGCAATGTATTTAAGGACCATTTTTGGTCATCCTGTATAGAAAGACTGTAATTCCACAGTCATGTCTGTGTGAACATGTACTATCAATTCAAATGTGACTGCTAGATCTAGCTTTCAAATCCTATTTTTAAATTACACTAAGAGCACTTATGGCCTGTATAAAATGGTCAGAATAAACCATTTTTTATCTTAATAAGTAACAATGAGCTGCAGGATTCAGGAGTGGAGGATCTATCTGTTGGACTGAAGAGTTCACACTGTAAACTGTAGATACTAGGATGAGCTTTCTCTGAATTTGATCTTTAATGATAAATGCTAAGCTCTTCTTTAATATGAAATCAACTTTGGAAAAGCATGTTTCATCAGTGGTAAGTTGATTTCATTTTTGCATCATATTATAGCTTCATGATATTTCCTTTACTGTTTGTTTTCATTAACTGTGCCTCGTCATTCTTCTCTGGCCTGACTCAATATATCAGTAGAATACAGCTAGTAAAATCAAGGAAAGCAAATAGGAAAAGGGGTTCCAAACTTTAGTAACTTTACTTGTTCAATTCATATATGATATTTTATGCTCAAATATACAAAACATACTCCAAATCTAAACTCCTAAAGTCAATTTCACTAGCATGCATTTCCACTTTGGTCATTGTAGAACAGATCAGCACATGGAATTGGAGCTTTCTTTGTGCTACCATGTTTTATAACTACTTCATTTTATAGGTGAGTTTTCTGTACATTGAATCTTAAACAACAAATGTTAAGCTCTTACATTTAATATATTTCTGATATTAAGAAATGAATACTCATTCAAAGTTGCTATAAATTCAAAGTTGCAGGTTGCCATTTTTTAATTATGAATATGGTACTGTATTTATCCTGTACAATCACATCATACTGCAGTATCAGAATTTACAAACTAAGAATTTTTGTACAAAAAAACTGCTTGTGCATATGACTTCATTTCAAATTACACTCTCATTTAAATCCTACAAGATGCTTATTTTAAAATTTATATAATTTATATCATTTCTACATTACCTCATGTTTAGAATACTGTAGTTCACTGTAAAAAGCAGAATAGGGCAGAAGCTGATTTAGTGTTTTATACACTTTCACTGTTTCAGTCTCAATATTTTTGACCTTATTAAAACTAGTGAAACACTTCGTTACAATATGAAGTGTATCAGCAACAAAATAAATTTAATTCACTTTTTATGCATTTTAATTGTAAAGCAACTGTACTTATTTCCATGTGACATTGTGACAGTAAGACAAAGTAACATAATGAAATGCATTTACTCTGCCTATACAGACAAGTTGGCTGTAATATATTTGCAACCTGTGAAAAATCATCAGCTTTAAAATCAGTAAGCTCTTTCCTTAAAGAGCTGGACTTCAGTAACAATAACCTGCAGGATTCAGGAGTGGAGCATCTCTGCTGGACTGAAGAGTTCATACTGTAAACTGAAAATACTAAGCTTTCCCTGAATTAGATCTTTAATGGTAAATGTTTAGACAATGGCAACTCCTTGTGCTTTATAGACATAAAAGAAGACAGCGCTCATGGCTCCTGGGCTGCCTTAGTGTGGGGTGCAATGGAAGGTGTCTGGGCCCTCCCTGACAATACTTTGGCAAATCATTGTCAATACAGACAATTTATCGTTGCTTCCACAAATGCAAGTTAAGACTGAACTATGCACAGTGGAAGCCAATGTTCCGAACTGTCCATAAACACAGCTGACTTCTCTGGGGTTGACTTCATCTGAAATGACTGACTGATGAAAAGTTTAAACATGATCTGACAAGTCAATCATTCATACTATTTAGGGAAATGATGGATGTCATATTCTCTGTCCTTTACACTGTGTGTAAACTAAAGAAAAATGGACCAAAAGAAACCGACCAGAGTAACTTGAAAAAAATGTCTGGTTCCACTGACTTATATTAAAAGTAATTTTTTTTCTTTTCCTGTAAAGTTATTATTTTGGAGATATGTTTTTTTCTGACATTAATAAACTTTAACATCAACAAATTCCTTAATTATATTTTATTCACAATAGAACATGGAATACATATCAGATGTTGAAAGTGAGACATTTTACCATTTAATAAAAAAAAATATTAACCCATTTAGAACTTGATAGCAGCAACGCATCTCAAAAGATTTGGGACAGGGCCGTGTCTACCATTGTGTAGCATCCCCTCTTATTGTAACAACAGTCTGTAAATGTCTGGGAAGTGAGGAGACCAATGGCTATAGTTTTGGGATTGGAATGTTGTCCCGTTCTTGTCTGATGTAGGACTCTAGCTGCTCAACAGTCCTGGGATATTTCATTTCATGATGTGCCAAGTTTTCTGTTGGTGAAAGATCTGGACTGCAGGCCAGTTCAGCACGCAGACTCTTTTTCTGTGAAGCCATACTGTTGTGATGGATGTAGTATGTGGTTTAGCATCGTCTTGCCAAAATATGCAAGGCCTTCCCCGAAAGAGACGTTATCTGGATGGGTTGTTGTTCTAAAATCTCTACGTATTGTTCAGCATTGATGGTGCCTTTCCAGATGTGTAAGTTGCCCATGCCATAGGCACTAATGCAACCCCAGACCATTAGAGACGCAGGCTTTTGAACTGTGCACTGATAACAAGCTGAATGGTCCCTCTCCTCTCGAGTATGCAGGACACCATGTCTGTGGTTTCCAAAAGAACCACAGAACAGTTTTCCATTTTGATTCAGTCCATTTTAAATAAGCTTTGGCCAAGCCCACTCTAGGAACATTAGTTGCCAGTGGACTTAAACAGGATAAGATGAATCATGTTTCATATACTTATATACTTTCACACACTTTTAGTGTGTGCTTTAAGATGGTGATGGCTTCAGTGCTTCCATGAGTCAGTTTCATGGAAGTACTGTGTTTTTTCTAACACAATACACGATTTGACTCAGCAGTAAATTACCAGGTTTACATGACGTGGCAACAGGAACAAAATAACCAAACAATGCTGGACATCAGCCTGTAGTTTACAGCGCTATTGACAAAGGTCAATGGCACTGCCTCAGCTATCTGTGACTCCGGAGTCCAGGCGAGAACAGCTGTCCTATCTCTGGGCAGCTAGGATGGACATGCCTTTGATTCATCTCTCATTGTGATGATAAACCACACCAGAACATTCTGCCTCAATGCTGAAAAATGTTGGAAAACCAGTGTTTTTGTCCCTTATTCAATGATTGTTATTCATAGCATAACTTAGCACTGTGTAGTTCAGATGGAACTGAATCACAACTCTTCATGGTACACAGAAGACAACACTTACCCTTACTCTTACTACTGCTACTGTTCTGTGTTGTGTGACTGCTACTGGCTGCGAAATTTCCTTTGGGATCAATGAAGTATCTATTTATCTATCTATCTTAAAATGGCGGCTTCTCAACTATAACTTGAACTGCTTGGGCAGCTTACAGATTTTTATTCATGTGCTTAAGAGCATGTTGACACATGTTGGAAGAACAATACTGTTAAAACAAAAAATGGGGAAAGGGCCTACTTATTTACCCGGCATCTTTTAATTAGCTAATTTTTTAAATTATTAGATAAATAGTAAAATATTTTTTCTGAGCCCTGTGTTCAGTTCAAAAACATGTTTTTTGATTTGAGACATACTGTTTGAAGTATTATTTCTCTCCTGTGTGAATGCGTTGGTGTTTCTTGCAAGCAGCATTGTCTCTAAAACTCTGTCCACACTCTGAGCAGCTATACGGTTTCTCCCCTGTATGAATGCGCTGGTGTATTTGGAGGTTACTCTGTCGAGTAAAACTCTGTCCACACTCACAGCAGTAATATGGTTTCTCTCCTGTGTGAATGTACTGGTGTTTCTGGAGGGAACCACGTTCTGTAAAACTCTGTCCACACTCTGAGCAGTGATACGGTTTTTCTCCTGTGTGAAAGCGCTGATGTTTTTTGAAAGTACTCTTGTATTTAAATCTCTTTCCACACTCTGAGCAGCAAAATGGTTTCTCTCCTGTGTGAATGCGCTGGTGTGTTTGGAGACTACTCTGTAGAGCAAATCTCTTCCCACACTCTGAACAGTGATAGGGCTTCTCCCCTGTGTGAATACGCTGGTGCCTTTGAAGATCACCTCGTACTGTAAAACTCTGTCCACACTCTGAGCAGTGATACGGTTTCTCTCCTGTGTGAATACGCTGGTGTGTTTGGAGGAGGCTCTGCGTAACAAAACTTTTCCCACACTCTGAGCAGTTATACGGTTTCTCTCCTGTGTGATAGCGTTGGTGTACTTGAAGATGACTCTGTAAAACAAAACTCTTCCCACACTCTGAGCAGTGATACGGTTTCTCACCTGTGTGATAGCGCTGGTGTTGTTTGAGATGACTCTGTGTACTAAAACTTTTCCCACACTCTGAGCAGCGATATGGCTTCTCTCCTGTGTGAATGCGTTGGTGTGTTTGGAGATGACTTCGTACAGTAAAACTCTTTCCACACTCTGAGCAGTGATACGGTTTCTCGCCTGTGTGATTGCGCTTGTGTGTTTGGAGATGACTCTGTGTAACAAAACTCTTCCCACACTCTGAGCAGTGATACGGCTTCTCTCCTGTATGATAGCGCTGGTGTGTTTGGAGATGACTCCGTGTAATAAAGTTCTGTCCACACTCTGAGCAGTGATACGGTTTCTCTCCTGTGTGAATGCGCCGGTGTTGCTGAAGATTGCTATTTTTAGTAAAACTCTTTCCACACTCTGAGCAGTGATACGGTTTCTTTTCTGTGTGAATGTGCTGGTGTTTTTGGAGATCACTCTGTGTAACAAAACTCTTTCCACATTCTGAGCAGTGATACAGTTTCTCTCCTGTGTGAGTGCGCTGGTGTATTAGGAGATTAGACTGTAGAGCAAAACTCTTTCCACAGTCTGAGCACTGGTGAGTTCTTTTTTTGCACACAATCTTTTGTGTATATGTGTGAGTTGTGTCCGTATGAACAGCAGCAGAGAATGTACCAGAGTCTGTGGACCCCATATTCTCACATTCCATCTTTCTCTATTTCAGCTGTGTGATGTCCTTTTGTTGGCGTTTCTTGATGTGTTTCTGGATGTAGTTTAGAGATGTGCAGGGAATTGGACACTATCAGCAGGAGCAGACTTCCAAGAGGGGATCATTCTAGAGAAAAAAAGGAGAAAAAAAATCAATGATACATCCACAAACAAGTTAAAAACATCAATTGATCAATGTTAAAGTAGCTACCTGGACAAAAAAAATGGAAAAAAGCTGCACTGCCTGTGGCATTCACTAGAAAAATAGTCAATCCAGCCTCTATGCAGGACATTTCTATTAACTACATTCACAAAAATCTAAGATATAGAGTTATTATGGTAATTATATTAGTCTGAAATACGTGACAAACGTCCAGGCCTTATAGCCCTACAAAATTTCCTTTTTACAGCAAATTGCAGTCGCATAAAGTAATAAGATGGGAACAGAGTATGCACCTCCTTGTTGTAGACTACAACTCTTGATACGTAAGGCTGACTTATCAAGGTGCTTGCAAAATAAAGTGTTTATTACCCATTGTTACTTCATGCACCACATTATCCACAAGCTTACAGAGAGGCAGAGAGAGTAAACTTCTTAACCATGTGAAATCCCAAGTCTATTTTATAATAATTTTAATAATAATAATAATTGTATTTATATAGCATGTTTCATGCCGGTGACAGCTCAAAATGCTTTACAGACAGGTGATAAAACATTGTTATAGAAGAGATCATTAGTATTTAATTAGAATCAGAAGAAAATGAAAAAGATTAAATTAAAAGATAAACACCATGAAACGTTCAGTTTTAACTAAATGCTAATTTAAAGAGATACGTTTTAGGTGCTTCTTAAAAGTGAGCACTGAGCTTGACTGTCTAATAACAGGTGGAATTGAGTTCCACAGTTTAGAAGCATAATAACTGAAAGAGGCCTCTCCATGTTTTCTGTATTTTACAGAGATTATTTGTAGAAGGCCACTAGATTATGTGCTGGAAAATAAACAGACAGACACTCGGTGATATAAGCAGGTGCTAGGTTGTTTTGAGCTTTAAAGACTAGTAGCAGAACCTTGAAATCTATCCTGAATGATACAGGCAGCCAGTGCAGTTCTTTCAAAACGGGAGTGATGTGATCTCTCTTTGTTGTTTTTGTTAGGATGCGCACTGCTGCATTTTGTTCGAGTAAGGGATGTATAGTTTATGTCTTAGGAAGTCCAGTAAGAAGAGCATTACAGTAGTCAAGTCTGCTTGTAACAAATGCATGAACAAGTTTCTCTGTGTCACTCTGTGATAAAAATGGCCAAACTTTAGCTATATCTCTTAAATGATAAAAAGCTACTTTAGTGACCGTGTTTACGGTCTGTTTATGCTTCCTAATGACATCACCTAGAGGTAGCATGTACAAAGAGAAAAGCAAAGGCCCTAAGACTGAACCTTAAAGGACTCCACAAGAAACGGCAAAGCTTTTTAAAGAATGATTTCCAAGTGAAACCATGAACTGCCTGTTACTTAAATATGATTCAAACCATTCTAAAACTGTGCCCGAGAGGCCGACCCAGCATTCAAGACGCTGGATTAAAATCTTGTGGTCAACAGTATCAAAGGCTGCACTAAGATCTAATAAAACCAAAATAGCATTTTATGCTCCAGTGATGAGCCTGAGTTCATTCATAACGCGAATCAATGCTGTCTCTGTACTGTGGTTGGAACGAAAACCTGACTGAAACTTCTCATATAAATTATTTGATAATTTAGATGATAATTTATAATAAGGCTTATCATTTAGTAACTACAGGGACTTTGTTGCAAAGTGGTTGAGTTATTCTTATATAAATGTGTAATAAAGCTGTGGGCCTGCTGGCATGCCCTGGCCATTTAAGGCATAAAGGCAGACAGTTCTTATAAAGCACCATTAACTTACTGATCTCTCCATAGCTGAGGGCTAAGAACAGGCCAATTAATTAATGAAACCCCATCTGCTCAACTTGCTCTGAGACTAAACATGAGATGAAGAGCATGTTTATTACTTGAGACAGAGCAAGTAGCAGAGCAAGGTCCTTGTCTCTGCTCATCTCAGCTTGGAACACTGGGCATCATCCACCAACTGTTCTTAAGGGGAAATTTCTTTTTACAACCCACTTATGCAGTTTTCATAAAGATGCTGACCAATGTTTTCTTATTTGGGATTTGTCCTTAAACCTCTGCCCTTATTTTTGAAGAGTGCCTGTATGGAAAGAGAGGCACAGAGCTATGACTATGACTGCCTGTTCCACAGGGATATAAATATGGGAAGAGACAGACGCCACAAACCCCATTCATCAAAATAGGCAACATTAGAGAACACATGAATGAAATTGGATAAAAAGATGTTGACCTTCATGTCAGGTGATGCCTAAAGACAGAACTTTGTGTTCTCTGAATATTTTGAGTTTAAAAATTGAGTCGCGTGTTTAGCTAGCTATGTGAGTGTTTTCTGCTCTGTTTTTAAACACTCATAGTAAACTTACTGTAAATGATCTGAGATGGCTAAAAAACGGATGACTAAAAAAACAGAGTGCTTAAAACACTGCTTGTTCAGTTTTAGACTTTAATTATAAAATGTATAAAATACAAACAAAAAACACAAAGTTGCGTATTAACAATTGACTCAGCAGCTCAGAAATTAATCTTAAAAATAAATGAAAAAAAGATGCTAAGTTTGTAGATCAAATAGTTTGTTTTAAAAGATCCATCTTGAGGACATTTAAATTTACAGTGTTTTAAGTGCTAATGTAATATTTCAAGTGCCTAGATTTTGCTGTTGACATTTTGCCATAGGTCGAATAAACAATGGCCAGTTCAAGTTTAAAAAGTAAAAATGAAATGAAAGCATAGACATTTACTGGCCCACTGGTTTGCTGAGTTTTTTTAATATGGCACTTTTAGTGGTTGAGTTTGACACCCTTGGTATAAGTCATATTTTTACTAGTAAAAAATAACTAGTACATACACAGTATCAAATGCTAAACACCATCAATTTAAAGCCACTATGATGAGCTCAGAACCCATCTTTAAACAGCAGCCTGTACTGGCTTTTTGGATTCCATAAAAATAAAATCCAGAAGCATTTGTTAATTAGTAAACTTAGTAAAAAAAAATAACCGTAGCAATTAGCCTTTTCTGGTCAGGTCATGTTTTGTCTGCTTGCTATCTGCATGTTTTCCATTGATTTACCCAACACATCTATTCAAGGGGAGATATAAATATTTAGTAACTACTAAATACAACACAAAAACAGTTTACAAGCTACAAACACAGTCATAAACAGATCAGCATAAAACTACTTATGGACCGAGTAATTTAAAGATATTCACTGGAACTTCTTACAACATACAGTGCTACTCTTATTCTTTTGTACAATGTCCTTCTGAAATAAATAATATGCTTATAGGTGATCAACAATAAAGAAGAACAAGAGCTGACCAACACAACAGAATGAAATTAAACCCAAAGAAGTAATCAAAAACTAAGTCTTAAAGACTGAAAAAGAACTGATGTATAAGTACTAAACTCATCGACCTCGTTTACACCAGGTCACTTCATGTGACTGGCCTCTGGATTGTCTCCTGATAAGATTTTATCAACATGTTAGTCACTACTACTAGTTAGTCAAAAGTGTCTCTGGTTATTTAGACCGAAATCAGTTTGTCGTGTGGGACAGAATACGCAAATCCGCTTGTTACATGGTAACCAATTACCGATTGTTTATCCAGCCTCTTTTCTTTGTCTACAGTTTGTTTTGCACAGTACCATCTGCCAATAATGCTATTAAGCATTCTGTTTTGTCCGGTCCCCAACCATGTGTGCCATGATTGATGGATGTATTTATGCTGCTGTAACATGTGGCTCAAATGCATCCTAGTCCACATCCTGAAGTAGCTTGAGTGATGGGATTTGTATCTGTTTGAAATATGTCTTGGGTGCATTTACACTTTAAATTTTATATGGCTTGGCCTCAAAACTTCTTAAATCTTAAATCATCATTTGTTTAGTAACCATGACAACTTCACTTAGGCCTGAATTTAAAACAGAATCCATTACAGTAACTCCAGATGAGAAAACATCATTACACACACATCCTAACTAGGGGAAAAAAATAAATAATTCTGTACTAACTTTAAGATCAATAATAATAATAAAAATATATATTTTTTTATTTATTAATAATAAATAAAAAAATAATGATTAGGCCTGTTATAAATTGATCTATTGATCAATCTATTGATGTTATAGAAAATGTTGCTGACACTGCATAAAAATTATTTACTAAAGTATATCTAAAGAAAGGAAGGAAGGAAAAATCAGTAAATTGGACTGTGAGTGGAACATGAGTGACAAAAAGTGAAAATTTGTCTAATCCCTGATAGCAAGAGGACAGCAGTCCACTGTCGCCCCGCTAAAGGCAAAGCTGGCGGTCCACTGGCATTTTGCTCAGCGTTTTCCAGAGGTCCACTGACTGTTAAGCGGAGTATTAGACAAAAGTCCACTTATCATTGCTCATTTTCCACTCACAGTCCAATTTACTGATTTTTCCTGTCTTCATTTGTTTAGTTATACTCTGTAAGTTAGATCAGTAAATAATTTTAATCTAGCACAGCTTTAACAGCAACATTTTCTATTAAATAATTTTATGTGAGGCCTAGTCATTATTTTTATTTTCTAAAAAAAAGGTCTCTGTGCATTTAAAATCTGTTTGAGAAAATTAAAAACTAGTAGAGCTTGTATGCAGGACAATAATCTGGTCAGTGCGAGGGTGGACCAGCAGTGGCAAACAGTCAGTGGGGTGCCGACCTTTTCAAACCAGCGGACCGATATATGCTTGCTGTCTGGGATGCTCCGCTTAACTGCCGGTGGACCACCAGCTCAGCCATCAGCGGGACAACAGCGGGAGAACTGTCCTCTTGATATCAGGGTAGCATCATGACATTACATTTATGTACACTGAAAACAGTGCTTTGCCTTTTATATTTTCTTTCTAACAGCGTTTTAAATATTCCAGACATGATCTCTACCAAAACTCTTGTTACCTTTGCATGTTTTGTTAAAAATCGTCAGATAAAATAATACAGTGATGGTGGTGAGGAATGAGGAGACAGCTGAACGGGGGTCTGTTAATCAGGAGGAATAACGTTACCGCGCTGGGAAACAATATTCCGTTCATAGCACTTTGGTTTTGTTTACGTTTCAACAGTGCACGTATGGTCGGTTGCTAGGTAACATACATGACAGTTGTCTGTCGACTCTGATTGACTAGGTTAAGAACTAGAGGTTCGATGCTGTGAGATTCCTAAATTACTCCGTTTTGCTTATATAATACGAATTTGGGAAACATCTTATCTTGACCTGTCAGATCTTAAGACAAAATGATAGGAAGACCCCGATACTGAAGACGCACAAAGACGGGGCCATTGACATTTCTTGAGTAAGAATTAAACAAATTTACGTTCGCAATTGAGGGAAAAACTGAAGAAAGTACAAATCCATTGAATCCATCAAAGTGTTTCCTACATATAACTGAGTACGTGTGACGAGTTTGTACTCACCTCTTCTCCAACCCAGCTAGAAAAACATCATCGTCACCCAAAATCACAGAGCTAAGTGCTAACATTAGCCTCCTCGGCTCTGCTCAGTCTAGAGGAAGGATGCTACTTCACATATTTTACCTCTCACTCTTTAAAAAGAGAACATTTCTCCACCAGCTTCAGTAAACACAGTGAAAAAATAACAAACCGCTCTTTATCTTCAGCAGATCAGCTCCTTTTTCTCTCTGTAATCATGCAGACGTTCATAGTTTTTGGAGACCCACTGTAACAGAACTAGCGCCCCCACCTGGACCGTGGGACACACACACTGGAACGACGTCATCCCACCCGTATTCCGACAAATCCCGCTTCCTGCGCTGCGATTGGCTAGAAGATCAAAATAGCGGTCCGCTGATTGGCTGGATGAGAAGCTGCTATCGTTACGGCAGCAGCCAGCATCTGAGGATGTACAGCGGTTAGAAACAGAAGATCAGACCTAGAAAAGTTCTGTTGATAAATACTTGGCACTGTAACCTAATAAAAGAAATGTGTTTGTATACGTCATATCTTCTAAAAGTGATACAAATCTTATAAATTCAGACAGTTTTGGGTTACTGGGTTTTCAGTTCTTTTTCTAAATACAGATAAACAGATCCCAGTGACTGTCCATGATAATCAATTATACACTAAAGCTGCAGCAAATAGAGATTAGATTATTAAAAACACTGGAGTATTATTGATGGAGATGATCTTCTCCTTTCACACTTTCACAATGTAAAAATGATGACTAACAGGGCACCTGATGATCTCCAGCTCTGAGCACGAGCTCCATCTGAGACAGTACAGTAGTCATGGAGCTTTACATGTGTCTGTGAAAAAGTCGGTGGTTCTTATAGAGAGAGGATTACTGTTACATGCTGTTACTATATACTGTTATTATGGAGAGACTGACTCCTGAGGACTCTCAAATACACACAATTTCTTTGTTTTTGCAGGAATATATTCTTAAGTAATTTACGTTTTTGCCACTATTTAAAAGGTCAGTGATCACCTACTTGAGTCACATAAATATTTCACAGCAACTGACTCTTTTCAAATTCATATCAAAACACATGGATGATTTAAAGCTATTAGGTGCTTTTACTGTGCTCATCTTAAACCTGCACTGATGCAAGTATTACTGTGTCTGAGTGTGTTCTGAGGTTGTATATTTGGGACAATTTTTGTATGAATATACTTCAAATAAAATTCACATTCGTGTGTATGCATTATTGCTACAAATTTAAATTAGAGATGCATACTGGTTTTGTATTTAAGGATTCTGAACATGCTGTTGAGCTTCGTCTTTTTGTCATTTGCAAGCATCTCAGTGAGGTAGTGTGTTTCAGACCTGACTTTCTTGCCTTCAGAGAGTTTGCCGTGTACTTTTTTTTAGAATGCCTAGAAGTCCTTCTGCCTCTTACCATAAGGTGACACAGTGAGATGTGTTTGGTAGTTTTTACTGTTTCCACTGGACAGTTTGGTGGTTTTCTAGCAACATGAAACCAGTCACAACTTTAAAGAAAGGCATGTATTTAAGGCAACAAAGACATCACTGGAAGGGTGGTAAAAATTAACAACAAAAAGCATTCAGTTAAAGTAGAGTAGACGTCATCTTTAGAAGACCGGCCCAACAAGATGAAATAGTCTTAGAATGAGGTACATTTGATGGTTAACACTAAGGAGAGAGCGGTGGGCAGCATTTTCTGACAACTGAAGAAGATGACCAACACAAACTGTGCAGCAGCAGATATCATCTCTGACCTTACATCTACAAGGTGGACCAATCAGGTAGGAGTGTCTAACAGAGTGGGCAGTGAGTGGACAGTGTTTAAAACCTCCAGCAGCTCTGCTGTGTTAAATAAAAAAAAAAGCAAAATAAGAGACTTGTTGGTCTCAGACGTTTGGATCAGCTAGAGGGTTCCCACTGAAGAAGTCGTGTTTGGAATTCAGTACACCCCAAAGCTGCAACTCAAGCTAAAACAAAAAAATGGACCCATAATGTTGACTATGTCTCCTTGAGAGGTGTTTGGGATAGTATTCCAATGTCATTACTCTAACAGACTGGTCTGTAATAATGGTATATTAAGTTCATATCATGTCCATCTCTTGCAAGTAGTGAATCATACTACTTTGACAATCACCACAATGTTTCAAGCATAATCTTAAATTCAATTTCATGATTTAATAAAAAATCATGGTTTGTATATTTCACATACAATTCAGGAAAAAGAATTAAATGCATATCCATAAAAAAATACATAATTACACAAACAACATGACATCTCACAGGATGTTATGACTGTCCTGTCAAATTCCTATTTTAATGTTAATGGAAAAGTGTCTTTTTGTGAAATTGTGATGTTTGTGGTTTCCCAATCCAATACTGTGTGTCTTTGCATTCCAGCTGTTCCAATATTGTTGATGTGTTTGGATTTCAGTAAAGCATGCTTATTTGAAAAGTTAGTTAATAATAAGCATTTATTGTTGGCAGATCATTTAAGCCAAGTTACAGGGGATGAAAGTGATGACTGAGTGAATTTCATGTGGTAAATATGTTTGGTGTTGATTCCTCAGTCCTCCCATCTTATCCTTGTGTCCTTAGGGGTTGAAGCTAAGATACAAGAGAAGAACACATAAGGATACATAAGACACCCACTGTTACACCAGCTAGATGTTTAAAATGTTATCATTTATACTTTAGGCATTTAAAGGCACAGACTGAAAGAATTTGGGGATGGAGTTTAGAGGGAAAGCTTGTGGTTGGAGCCTGGTTAGCAGTATATTTTGTCAACATCCAACTGTTAAAATATATCATCAATAGAGATGGCATCATCAAGTTACTCTGTATCAAAATTCTGGAGCAGAGTGGCAGAAATAAGAATAAACATGATCTGAATTTGCAGCAACTAACATAAGCCAGTGTTTGAATATCAGTATTGGAAAAAGTAAAAGTGGTCATACTATTTATAATTACAAGCCAATGCAATATTATAGAAATTAATTTTGAATTACATACTAGTAACTATCTGTATCTATTAAATTACTGGTTTTAGGTCAAGTTTACATACTCTAACTGTAGTGCAGTCTACACTACCGGAGTATGCATAACATGTCATAATCCTTGAACATTTGCTAACCATGTAAAATCCATTGCATCCCGACTCTGATTGGTCGACTGACCCCTCATTTTTCCCATTAGGTAGGTGGATATGCTAGTTTTAGATGAATCCCACTACACTACATGACCAAAAACCCACAAGGACACCTAAATATTACATCTATGTGCTTGTTGAACATCTCATTCTAACAATGTTGCTACTATGTTGGTCTGGTTGGTTGTCCACTCTTCAATGAACTTTTGTACCAGGTTAACATAGTGTCAATGGTGCAGTGGAGTTTGTTACAACCTTCAAAAAATGTAAACATCCACGTTATATTCACTGCTCCCCCAAAATGTGTCAAAACCTTATTTACACTGAGCTTTCAGCTCTCATGTTTCTCAAATGTGTATAATGTGGTGGGACTTTTTACGATGATTTAGGCTTAGTCTGACAGCTGAATCCATAGAGCTTTTTGCGAGCTTTGTTACTGCTTTATTTGCATTAATAACTGGCCATTTTCATCCTGTTTGGAGAGACATCATTTTCTTTACAGGTGCCACCCGTACATACACCACACAGAAGTGGTTTTTCAAGACGGAATATCTTATGAACACATGGTGCTTAACATTTTTGGTTCATTTTCTTTGCTTATCATTCTAATTTATTGCCCTCCCAAATCTACCTCCAACTGTGTCTTTACCGAATAAACGGCTTGCACTAGCCTCAATTTTGCACCCAGCTCTGATTTTATTTCGAATCCTCAATATTCACGTTGACAGTAGCTGGTCCCTCACCACAAATTTATTTTTCAGATCCAACAGACCTGGCTCTGATATTCAGATGCCCTAGACACCCTTCATAACCTGTATCATGTGTGTTAAATATTGCCGCATAGCCAAAGCCACCAAGAACATATTTTGGCCATGCAGTGCAGTGGCTGCATTCCTAACCCACAAAACCAAGGGGCTTCCAAAATTTCCAAAAGGTAAACTACAACCTCAATGTAACATAAGCTATTAGGAAGGACTTACTGTTGGTCCTACCTAAGGTTTCTCACCCATTTCTTCCTAGATGTTTAACTTTGTGTTGTGCTGCTAAAAGGTTTGGCATTTTGTGAAGAAGACGGACTCTTTAGTTTGAGTTTGTACCTTATGACATCAACCAGACTATGCTAAATCCATCTTTTCAATGTGTAATTTCAAGGATATATGTCGGACCCCACAGTTTGTCCAGCACCATGTCATGAAAGACATTTCATACAGCAAATAGCTCTATGATTAAAACAAACAGATGCTTTTGATAGAAGGATTCATGAAAGTGTATTTACCAACTAACTGCAAGGCATGGCTGAGGCCATCTTCCAATTTCCTAACAATTTCATACATTTTACGATGTTAAACTCTGTTCTCCTCAATGGCTACTGCTCACATGGTCTCTCAGCAAGACCGTCTCTACCTAAAGAAATTGCGTAGATACATTTTTTACTTCCAACAACTCAAAAAACTCCTGCAACCCATCCATGTTGCTTTAAATTGACCAATAATCTTATCGAACTTTAAGGAGAACTAACAGTTAAGGAATGTTATACTTAATGCAAAATAGAACACTTACTATTAATGATCCAAATTACATTCAGCTTCAACAGGGAAAACCGCAAGATAACCTGTATTGTCTTATTTTATTCAGTTATATTGAGAAAACCATGACTCACTACTGTGTATATCAGAGGGAGGTTTCAATCAGGACTATTTTCTTCTCACTTGGCCCCGCGGAGCTGGTTGTGGTTGGTGGCTTTTTATTTTTTTGGAATCCGAAGATGTAACTACAGCTGTTTGACTGCTTGGGCTTGAAAAGCTTACTGATTGTTGGATGAACTTTTATTTTTCCTGAGCTGAATCACTGGAAAAGAGTCAGACACTGCATGTTTGGGAAGAGGCTTGGATGTACTGAGAATGCCTTCTTACAAAGATGGTAAAAGGTAGACCAGGTCTCTTCAGATCTCAAACCTCCTATCTACACAAAAGAAAAGCATACAAATCATGAAGACATGTTTATTTTTAAATCAGTCAAAACTGATTCTTCCCAATTATCAAGCTGACATTCAAGAGACACTTAAACAATACAACTGTGACAGTTGTGTTACATCAAAGGAGAATTTAATTTCTGGATCCAGTTGGCAACCCCAAATCATCAAAATCAAGTTTTTTGATTTGACATGCATATGTTTTTACCTCTTAATGCATTTGTGTTTCTTCACACTTCTTGAATTTCTGAAGGTTTTCCCACACTCTGGGCAGTGATACGATTCCCCTCCTGCGTGAATGCGCTGGTGTGTTTTGAGATTGCTCTGTACAGTAAAACTCTGTCCACAATCTGAACAGTGATACGGTTTTACTCCTGTGTGAACACGCTGGTGTGTTTGGAGATGAATCAGCTGACTAAAATACTTTCCACACTCTGAGCAGTGATACGGTTTCTCTCCAGTATGAATGCGCTGGTGTTTCTTGAGGGTACCACTTTCTCTAAAACTCTGTCCACACTCTGAGCAGTGATACGGTTTCTCTCCAGTGTGAATGCGCTGGTGTTTCTTGAGGGTACCTCTTTCTGTGAAACTCTTTCCACACTCTGAGCAACGATACAGCTTCTCTCCCGTGTGAGTGCGCTGGTGTGATATGAGATTATTTTGTTGAGTAAAACTCTTTCCACACTTTGAGCAGTGATACGGTTTCTCTCCTGTGTGAATGCGCTGGTGTCTTTGGAGATGACTCAGCAAAGTAAAACTCTTTCCACACTCTGAACAGTAATATGGTTTATCTCCTGTGTGAAAGCGCTGATGTATTTGGAGATTACTTTGTCTATTAAAACTCTTTCCACACTCTGAGCAGTGATATGGTTTATCACCTGTGTGAATGCGCCGGTGTAGTTGGAGAGTACTACGCTGACTAAAATTCTGTCCACACTCTGAGCAGTGATACGGTTTCTCTCCTGTGTGCACTCGCTGGTGTATCTGGAGATTGCTCTGTGTAGTAAAACTCTTTCCGCAGTCTGAACAGTAACACAGTTTTTCTCCTGTGTGAATGCGCTGGTGTATTTCGAGATTATTCTTTGTATTAAAACGCTTTCCACATTCTGAACAGTGATACGGTTTATCTCCTGTATGAATGCCCTGGTGCCTTTGGAGATAACTCTTTAAACTAAAACTCTTCCCACACTCTGAGCAGGGAAAGGGTTTCTCTCCAGTGTGAATGCGCTCATGTCTTTGGAGATCTGTCTTTAAAGTAAAACTCTTTCCACACTGTGAACAGTGGTGTGGCCTTTCTTTGTCTTCAATCTTTTGTGTTCTTCTGCAAGGTGTCTTTGTCCTGAGAGCAGCAGCGGATCTTTGACGAGTCCTGGAGCTTTTGGACACCATATCCTCACATTTAATCTTTTCTAATGTTAGCAATATGAGGTATTCCTTTTGGTGATGTTTGTGCAGGGAAATTAGCAGAAGGAAATCTTGCAATAGAAGATCAATCCTTTCTGGAAGAAAAAAGAAGAAAAAAGTAAATGCCAAATGCAAAACAAAAACAAAATAGGTGACAAATTCAACAGCTCAATAGTGGTGGCTTTTTAAACATGCAATAGATATTCTTATTAATGTCTTTTTACTATTTCATTTCACTGGCTTAACATTGGTACACACGAGCAGTGCAACACAGCATTTATTATTCCTAATTAAACACACCCACTAACCCTGGAAAGTAATAGATGAGTGTAATCAATCAACAAAGGCTGCATCCATCTTAACAGCTTGATTCTCACATACTAATAAAAACAGAATACAATCAATCATGCACCAGCTATTTGCAAAACTGTCTGCAACTGTATTTTCACTGTCAAAGACTGTCATCTGCATTTCTGTCAACCAAACATTGTGGTTGGGATGTCGGGAGGGACTTTTCTTAGCGTGGGTATGTTTTTCAGTAGTCTGGGGCTGTGCTTAAGCATTAGCAGAGTAAAACAGTTTCATTCGACAACTAATGCTACAGCAAAATCAAAATGTTACTGTTAAACTACAAATACTATATTTAGTTTTCTATGCATTCCTGAGTACAAAGAAGTGGATAAAGCGCTGATTTAACTTAGGAAACATAATAAGGAAGCTGTGTGGAAGTTAGTTGTGTTTACTGCTAGTGCAGCTGTCTAACATGAAGCAATCTCTCACATGTATAGTATGCATTCTATTTTTGTAATATTCATGTCTCTAAAAGAAAACTGAACATTTATATGCAGAGTACATTTGATGGACTCACTATATTCCCAAACTATTGCAAGCTAAGATATAGCAGCTTTGGCTCACAAGTTTTACATTTGTTTTGAAATAAAACAAAATGCCTAGACGTCAAGAAATGACACAAAGAAATCTTTCTAATAAGTTTTTACAGGAACAAGTCTTATGTTTGGAACTAGATGCTTTTAGGAATGTTTAGTACAGGGGCATTTAGAAGAGTTTGGGGGGGTGACGGCAAAGCAGAACAGTGACCTTAATAAATAGGTCAAAACCTGTGCCATGTCTTTTCATAAATCACATATTTGGAAGGGTAAACATATGTATTTTGTTTAATACGATCGCCAACATCTGTATCACATTTAAGGACGATAGCTCTCCTGTTCTCGAGAGTGACAGAGAAAAATGCCACTTCATCAAATAGAATAAACCTATATGGACAAATATTTTGGGACACCCCTCCGAATTACTGAGTTCAGTTGTTTCGGCCACACCTATAACAGATAGACAAAATTAAGCACACAGCCTTGCAGTCTCGACAGACAAACACTGGCAGTAGAAGGGGTCGTACTGATGAGCTCAGTGACTTTAAACATGGCATGGTCATAGGATGCCACCTCTTCCATAATTCAGTTTGTAAAATTTCTGTTCTGCTAGATCTGTCCCTGTCAAGTGCTATTATTGTGAAATGGAAGTGTCCAGGAGGAACAACACCTCAGCCACGAAGCTCACAAAACTCACATAGCGGGGCTGCCGAGTGCTGAAGTGCACAGTGCCTTTATCTTCTTTTGAATCACTCACTAAAGAACTCCAACTTGCCTCTATAAGTAATATAAGCAAAAGCACTCTGCGTTAGGAGCTTCACAAAACGGGTTTCCATGGCTAAGCAGTTACACACAAGCCTAAGATCAAAATGCACAACGCGAAGCATTGGGGGAAGTGGTACAAAGCACACTGCCACTGGACTCTGGAGCAGTGGAAATGTGTTCTGTGGAGTGACGAATCAGCTTCTCTATCTGTCAGTCTGATGGATGAGTCTGGGTTTGGTGAAAGCCAGAAGAACAATACCTGCCAGACTGCACTGTGCCAACTGTAAAGTTTGGTGGAGGAGGGATAATGATATGGGGTTGGTTTTAAGTGGTTGGCCTAGGACCCTTAGTTCCAGTGAAGGAAAATCTTAATGCTTCAGCATCACTTTTCAATAAAAGCGAATCCGTCAAAACTGTGCAACGTGATTTTCATTGGCTGTGAACCTCCAACAGCTCAGAGCATTCGTCATTGGTTCCACAACACTGGATGATCTCCAAAATCGCACTGAAAGAGCCGTGAGTGCAGCGACACCCGACATAGTCAAAATTCATCCCACACTCGATTGACCATCATGTTGATGTCCGTACAGCTGGAGGAGGTTCATACTGAGCACTTGTAAAATTACATAAACTTTATGCTCATTTAAACCATTCCCAATTTACTGCATTGTTCTGTAATTACTGTAGTGAAATAAATAATTTTGAAATCGGATGAATCTTTTTTGATCACCTCGTATACCATGTTTTGGTCCTTACTATTTTAGTATTCGCAGTTTTAAAAACTTAAATTGTAATGAACTGTTGTTAAAAAAGCAGTTAATGCTAGTGTACCAAAGATGTAAAATTGCATTAACATTATGAAGAAATAAAATAGAGCCACTCTTATATTAGCTTCTGTGAGTACATTACATAAACGTAACTAGCTACACTAACTATTGACTGATCACAATCAACTGACTGGTCTAATCAACTAGAAAGACTTTTTTTTTTTTTTGTTTTCTCTGAATAGCATTGTGTTTTTGCGGATGAAAATCATGGTCGTCATCCTATCTCTGTAATCACTGTTTAGCTTCAGGAAAAAAGGGTGAAAGATACACCTTTTGGAAATGTAAAAGCAATTCCTATGCTGGTTCTGCTTGGAGCAAATCAATTCATTTTTTTCGAATTCATCACAAAAAAGACTAACATTTACAACAAACAATGGTTTTCCATTGAGTTGGGGCAGCTACATATAAGCCAAAGGAGTTCAGACCATGGTTCACATGAAAGGCTTAAGTGTGCAGTCATCGGGACGGTCAAATGCAAACAGGGATACATTGGAACAGAACTGCTTCTCAAATGACTGATTCTCTATCTGAAGGGGACTCCAGACCTTTAATAACTACAAATAAAGTATTGCATACACACAACTCACAAACCAGCTAAACATCTTTTACTCAAGAGATGAAAAACAAAAAGGTCTTCAGTCCTGCCCCAGGACCTACGACGCCCCTTCCTCACCACCCTCTCCTATCGCTACCACTGAACGTCTAGTCAGCCATAATCTCAGGAGAAGATTGGCAAACGGATGATTATTTATACTGAGGTTTGCAGATGACATCACCCTTCTCGCATTCTTCTAGGATGTGGAAGAGGATGGGGCAAATTCATACAGGACCCCTCACACAATAGATGGGCTTCGAGGGTATACGAAAACCGGCTAAAGGAAAGTCTCCCATACCCTAAAGGGGAGAGTCCTATTACACCTTATGTGGATGCATTTGAAGACCATTTTTGGGCAGCACGCAAACTGTTCAGAAACAACCTAAAAAACACCTCCGCATCCCAAAAGTCTTCAATGACACATCATAAAATAAATCTATTAGATAACCTACAAACTTCTAGATATCACTAAATCACTAAAATACCTTTTACTGGCAACCCTCTTACCTAAACTTAAGCAGGGACACCCACCCAAACATATCCAATAACACCTCCACCCAACTTAACCTGCGAGCTCCTATCAAAAAAAATAAAAGGAGCTAGGTGCTTTTCTTCTAAAATATAATGGTAGAAATCCAAAAGTACAGTGGCTGAACCAACACAACAGACTAAAATTAAACCCCAAAAAAGGAATAAGGAACTAAATGATAATGACTTAAATCGAATTAAGAAACAAGTGGATCACTCACTTATATATTCAACAGAAGTAAGTGTTATCATTTGAAAACACTCACAAAACAGTACGACACCATTAAAGTTTCTGTTACGTGTAACTGAACCAATGTGACTTGTTTCCACCCACCTCTGACCTTCTCCGATCAGACTAGAACATTATCACCCAAAATCATAGAGCTAAGCGCCAAAACCCAGAGCTAAGTGCTAACATTAGCCTTCTCAGCTCAGCTCAGTCTGAGTGAAGGCTGCTTCTGAGTTAGCTCACATACTTCAAATATTTCACATCTTACTTTTAAAAAAGTGAACATTTCTCCAGCAGCTTCAGTAACACGGCAAAAATAGAGTGAAAAAGTGATAAACAGCTCTTTACCTTCAGCAGATCAGCTAATATTTCTCCTTAGAAGACCGCAGAGCTGTTTCTCTTTCTCTCCGCTTTATTGTCTTTAGAGGCCCACAGTTATAGAACTAGCGCCCCCACCTGGACTGCAGGGGACCTCATACTAAATGGTATTCCGACCAACCCCGCCTCCTGCGCTGCGATTGGCTAGACGTTCATAAGAGTAGTCCGCTGATTGGCTGGTTGTGAAGTCATTCTCGTTACTGGAGCAACCAGCAACTGAGGATGTACAGCGGTTAAAAACAGAAGCTCTAACAGGAGAGTCCCTGATAGCAAGAGGATAGTGGACCACTGTTGGCCCGCTGATGGCAAAGCTGGCGGTCCACTGGTGTTTTGCTCAGCGTTTTCTGGGCGGCCCACCGATGGTAAAGTGGAGTATTTGACAAAATTCCACTTATTATTGCTTATTGTCCGCTCACGGTCTAATTTTCTTATTTTTCCTTCCTTCCTATCTTTAGTTATACTTTGTAAATTAGTTTAGTAAATAATTTTCATTTCAGAGTCACACTGACTCACTAATGCCCGTTTATTTACTGCAATAGTTATGAATTCACACAAATAAGAATGAACGTAATATAAACGTAATAAAAATGATGGAAACATTCAAAAATAAATTATAATACTGTTGTGGCTGCTACTGGTTCTGTATTGTAATAAAAATGATGGAAACATATTCAAAAATAAATTATAATACTGTTGTGGCTGTTACTGGTTCTGTATTGTGAGGACTGGTATGCATGTATGTGTTATTTGTGTGTTTACCGTTGTTCGGGCTGTATTTCAGTGGCATTTTCTGCCATGTTCAATAAACGTAACTGGGTCTGGACTGGGTCTGCCCATCTCTGAATTTGCTCAGAGATCAGTAGTGGACTGGTTTCTTGCTCAATTAACAATACGTGCTCTACAGGTGAAGTACTTTGAGGTGGTGTGGGCACTGGGAGCTGACTAAGCGCATCTGTATTTCCATTGTCCTTGCCTGCTCTGTGTGTGATCACATATTCATAAACCCTTAAGATTACAGCGCATCTCATAATTTGCTAAGACACCATCTGAGGTATTGCCTTCATCTTGTTCAGTAAACAGATATGTTGTCAGTCCAGATTACAATTTTTTCCCATATAAGTATTTTCTGTATCGATTCTGTATAATCGCTAATCTCTCCTTATCCAATTGTGAATAGTTCTTTTCTGCTGCAAATAATGTGCATGAGAAAAACCCAACTGGGCATTCACCTCTACTGGCATTCGGTGAGCAAAGATTGCCCCCCATCTCAGAAGGTGTTGCATGACAGGAGAGCATCAGCTCCTTCTTCTTGTCATTATGCACCAACACTTTACTGGACTGCAAGAGCTCCTTGGCTTGCTGAAACATTTTGGCTTGTTCAGACCTCCATCTCCTTGTCTCCTCTTTCCTAAGCAGTTTATGAAGTGGTGCCAGCAGTGTTAAAAGGTTTGGCAGGAAGCAATTGTAATAGTTCAAAAGCCATATGAAGGCTTTTCTTCCTGCTGGCAGTACAGGAAGAGGAGACACCGTGTCAGTCAATTCCACAAACCTTAACTGGCAGAAAGAAGGACACTCAGTGTTGATGCCACAGCCAGGGAGATGGGCTGCCACCATGGACTTTGAGTCAAGTGCAGCATAGACAAGAAACAGCTTCCTTCCTCATTGACACCGGCTTGTCAGTGTCACTGCTACATTCAGGCCTGCTCTCCCACCCTGAGATCTGCACACCTGACTACTGGGAAGTGAGAACGGTCCAATTCAAGTCTGCATCGGACAGCCGAGTCGATGTGAGAGGGAGGAAGTGGCTCCCAGTTGTCGTGGGGGGCTCAAACTGAATGCATGAGTTCTGTCTGAACCTATACAGGATGGGTGCTTTCTCAGGTTTAATTTCCTTGCAGTAGCTGGGGCCATGCTCAACCCCAGGAAGGAAATGATGGTCTTGGAAAAGGGAAAAGTGAAGTTGCTTGTGGAAGCTAGTGGTGGATCCTTGCTGGCCATGGGCAATGCACATGAGCAGTACCCTGTCAGCATTGATGATGCAGTAGATGATGGAGAAATCGGAAAGCAGCTGAGTAGAGTGCCGCTACTTCTGTCATCAACCCCAGTAGCACTGGAATTAACACTGTGAGCTGTGAGGAGTTCTGCTGTGCCCAGAAGGAGGAGGATGGGTCCAGGAGGTACAGAATCAAGGTTGGCCAGACAGGATGCCACACACCCCATGCAGGACGAGATGTCGTATGTGGCAAGAGCCAGGGAATGTGTATGTGGCAGCAGTTGGTGCTACACAGCCTGAGAAAGAAGATGCTAGGCATGTTACATGGAGCGGCTGGCGTGGGGCACGTTGGCATGAAGCAACTGCAGCAGAGGTTCTACTGGCTGGGCTGTTGCACAGATGTGGAGCCGTACATGCATTGCTGTGACCAGTGCTTGGCAAAGAAGGGACTGCTGCAGCAGTCATGCACCTTGCTTCACTCTCTCAGCTCTGGCACACTGATATAGAAGATGCTCCTTGGAGCAGTCACAGAGAGGCTGCAGATGGGCAACAAACACCTGCGCACCTGAAAGAATTTGTTTGGGGTGTGTAGCATCACCACTGGACTTAGGATTTGAGCCAGTTAAGAGAGCAGAGAGGAACACACTGAGGTCTCCCAGACTGTATGTGTTGAATGTTGTTGTTAGAAAGTATTTTCCCTGTTCTCCCCATTTGAGTTGGTTCCCTTTGCTGTCTATTCAATAAAGAATAGACAGCAATTCCACCATTGTCACTACTGTCCTACTCAACAATGGATGGGGCAATAAGGAAATGTAACACTAGGCTTATTCACCCGGTTACATTTATAATACATTTATAAGAAGATTATGGAGAGGAAATTACATGCAGGTGTGTATTTCCTGGTTTTTGTGTGCACGCACATTCACTCAAGAATCCATTAAGTCTTCTTCTGTGCCAATGCTACATTATAATTAATATAATACTTGCAAACATGATGATAAATAGCTTCAGTTAAGCACTAATAAAAGAAATGTTTTTTTTTATCAGTTATATTTTTAGAAATGATAATTCACACATACAGCCAGGGCAACATAAATGTTTGAGCAGAACTGTACAACGTGAACCTGTCCATTTGCTTTTATTATAAGAATGGAGTAAGTGGGCATTCAAAGCGAACTTTTTTTGTATGCAAGTATTATTTGAGTGGTGGACTATTCTTAGCACTGCAGTGACACTGACATGGTGGTGTGCTAGTGTGTGTTGTGCTGGTACATGTGGATCAGACACAGCAGTGGTGCTAAAGTTTTTAAACACCTCACTGTCACTGCTGGATTGGTTAGAAGTTCATGAGAGCAGTCCGCTGATTGGCTGGTTGAGAAGTGGCTATTTATCGGAACA